AATTATGATTTTTAAAAATTACTACTAGTTAATAATACTTATAAAAGCGGATAATCCGTTTGAAACTATGTCATCTCAGTAAATTTTGTTGACACCATTGTTTTGGTTTTTGAGTTATCATGTAATAAAAAAGAAGAACAAGAAATTCAAACTTTTTTGCTATGAAATTTACAGACATTCCCAGAACTTGTGACTCAGTCATTACATATATATTGTTATTGAAGGAAAACTGTATAGTATTGTAAAGTTCTGATGACCTATTGAGGAGATATTTAAAATACTGTTGCGTCAGCGAGGTCACGTGACTAGTATCACGCCACCCCCTTTCTAGAAATATCCTGTTCCTTCATGAATGCCCTAGCATTTACTAGATTGGGGGTGGTCTGGTGTATATAAGATGGTCACAACGTGACGGAACAGTGTAGTTAATGAGTAATTGAATGTATGCGGACAAAATATTGTTGGCCTCGTGAGACGTGAATTCTAGCGTTTGTTATAGAGCGACTGTTGAAAATAAGTGTATCGGTAAAGTTATATTCAGAAAGAATAAACCAGTTTTATTAAGAAAGGACTTGTGTCGCTAAAGTTTCGTGGGAACGAAGTTACGGAAAATCAACTAACGAACGGAGACGTAACAATACCATTTCGATTAATAATCCGAGCCATACCTACATAGGCAGTGCTGCCACCTGCCTGATATGGAAAATAAAATAGTTTCTTCAATGCAAAGGCTCAGAATCGTTTTATTCCTTTTGCTTTGCACCACCCAGGAGAGAAAATATTATTCCAAAGTTTTGGATTTCCTTTTGGATCATCTGGAGGATCATCTGCCGGGATCATGGTTGCCTTATGTTGCAGAAGACGGCGCCTTAGCTTGTCTACAATATGTGGACTTGAAGTTACTAGATTGTGATGTTCCGTTGGATCATCTGGTCAAAATCGTAAAGAAAATTATCATTGTTATATATATACCATTACTCTAAAGTTTACTAAAGTTTTTCATCTAATGTCTTATAAAACAATAAAGAATATTTGTACATTTTAAAAGTAGTCATAATCATATTATAAAGTTATTACAAAACTTGTTTTCACAAAATATGATGATCTGTAGAATATATGGGTTGTGAATTTCGAGTAGTGCTGCTTTGAGATAGTTTGTGTTAGGCTGCATGGGTTAGGGCGTTCGACTCGCGAGTTCGAATCCACGTCACCAAACATTCTCGTTCTTTATGAATGCTGATTAACAGCTTCCTAGCCTTCTCGGCTTACAAAATTCCGATCAACCCCAAACTATTTAGGATTGAGGTCGTAAAGAAAGAAAAAAGTATTTTTCATGATATAATTTAAACATGCTATAGAAGGAAAAGCACAACATTGAAAACTGCTTTGCATTTTTACAAACTTTTATCAACATAGCCGAGAATTTTAAATATTTTTACTCCCTGAAAAAAAAATTATAACTGGGACACAAATCTGGTTGTTTTTAATTAATTTAACCATAAAGTTAAGATACACTAGTGTTTTTAATATATGCTATTTATACAAAATAAGAGTGTTTGATTTAGGGTCAAGATAATAATGAAATGCATAATAAAAAAATAACCTCTAATTTTGAGCTTTTGGAATATAAGTTTAGTTATTTTGGAAAGCCATTTATATAATATATATCTACCATGATGCTTAAGACTTTATCTTAACATGCTTTTATTTTATGTAGTGCTGGTTTGATATATTCTATGTTGATCTCCAGTTGTTTTCATGATATGATTTAAACATTGTATAGAAAGAAATGCAGAATTCTAATGCTTATGATCAAATACGTAATTGTAATCACTGAGAAGGAGTGATTTAAAGAACATATTAATAACTCACAAATGATTCAGAGCACATATTAGACGCACAAAGTGACTTACAGTACATATTTCTGACTCAAGAGATAAATTACAGCAAATATTAGTGACTCAAAGCAATATCAGTGACTCACAATGTTCCATATTGCATATTCCTGACCCACTAAGTGACTTACGGGGCATATTAGGGACACAAAGGTGAAGTAGAACACATATTAGTGAATCAAAGTAACTTAAAGGAAATATACATATCGTTTACAAAGTACGTTAGTGGATCACGAAGTGACTTAGGGGACATATAAGTCACTTACAAGTGACTAAAACCAAACATATATGACTCACAAGAGACTCAGAGCTCATATACACTAGTGACTCATAACCATTGTTAGATACAAAATACTCAAAATCTTCACTTTTAAAATCTAATGTATAGCAATGTGGTTGTCTAACATAAAGTTGAACAATTAAAAACAGAAATAAAAAATCTCTATCTCACTCATGTGGAATGGATTAATTATGTTTCATTAATGGATATCTCAATCAAAATTGAAGTTCTGGGTAAGCTTTTTTTTTAACGATTTTTCAAGGATTGGTTAAACAAACAATAAAATAGTTTTTATTAAAGTCAACTAAGTATTAGCTTTGCAAAGAATAATTTAAGAAATCATAATTCATATTAAATAAATATATTATGTTCCTATATCAAATATATAATCCAGATGAGTAAAAAGATAATTCGTGAAATAAAACATACAACCTTCAAAACTCACAAAATCAAATAACTTTCAAATAGTATGTTATGTGATATTTGTAACATACTAAAAAATATTTATAGGCAACGTAGCACTGTGTTTCTTCCAAGAACAGCCATAGTATATGAAAAAAATATCAAAAGGAGTATCTAATAACCAAAGTAAAGTATTACTTCTTATGTTAAAGAGATATATTTGGTCTTCCAGAGGATTCTGTTGATATATAGTGTAATTGGACAAGTTTGTACAATTGACGGTAGGGGGCGGGAACCATCCACTTGGGCTTCCTCCTGATCCAATAATTAATTTGTAGTCACCAACCCTGTAAAAAGTAATATTAAGAAAATCAAATCGAATAAAGTTTGAAAAAAACACCAAAAAAGAAGGTTTCCACAAATTTCAAAATTGAGGCTGATCAACATTAGAGGTCACGCTCATGCAAAATATTTCTTAGTGGATGAAAATACATCATTTAACAGTTTATAGCAACGTATCTAATGAAATGTAAAGTAGAGTCACAGACCATTTGGAGAAAAGAAAACATTTTACCTGATAGCTCCTCTGGTTCTCGATGTATTAGTATCATAGATGTTGTAGATGAATTCGTTTCGAGGTGGCGTTCCGTATCCATTAATCATATTCCATTGGTCAATTCCATCAATTCCTGGATCTGTTTAAAGGCTCAGAAGATATACTGTTGTAAATTAACACCCTTTAAAGACACTTTAACATTATGGCTACAGGATGCTTTCAATGGTTATGAAAACATATACAATGAAAACATTTCAGTATTTATCATGACAATATTTTTGGAAGCTAAGGCAACATATCAAATAAATCAAGGACTTATATAAATAGTAATGGTAAAAAAAATAGCTTTATTTGACCTCTGAACTTTTGTCTTGACATTTCTGTTGTCACCTAGGCCATCATACCTGGTTAATCATGTGACAATATTATGATGTCACACATCTGACTGACCCCATGATGCCACATTCAAATGACCTTAAGGTGGTGCACTTAAGTGGGTGGAGCTATCATGGAGGTGAAACAAGTTCAGACATGTATGGACAAGATAGTATCCTCTATTGGTGGAGCTACCATGGATGTGACGCATGTTCAGACATGTGCGGACAAGATGGTGTCTTCTAGTGGGTTTAGCTTTGTTGAGTAAACCTTGGTGGTAAAACACGTTCGGACATAGAGCATCTACCTTTGACAAGACAGTGGCTTCAAATAAGAAAAGGCCTCTTAGATGAGCCCCTGGTAATATTTTCAAACAGGTGCAGACAATTTGGATTAGATCCTTCGGGTGTGTTCATTTTGGATGTCTTGGTGATATCAGACATGGCACAGTCAGGAACAATCATTACATTACCATGTGGGTCATTGAGGATTCTTTTGAACTCTTTCGATTTCAATACACAAAATACCAAAGAAAACCTATTTATCTATTACTCTTAGCCCAACTTACTTGCAATAGTTAGTTTAAATTACTTTTAACATCTTCTCTTAACAGCACAATCAATTACTTATCTGTATATTTCTGTTTAATTTTTAAAAATTAGCATTTAATAACCTACCACATATCCTCACTAACACCTGACAAGAGATACATTATTTATAAGTTAGGCAGATGTAACCATGAGCATTGCTGCCTCAGGATTGATTCAAAGAACACATTATTAATGACAAGTGACCCAGAGCACATAGTAGTGACTTAGAAGAGGTTGAGAACATATTAGGCTTGCCAAATGACTTGGGGCACATATTTATGACTAACGGGTAAATAGCAGCAGATATTAGTGACTCACAAACTGACTTAAGGAGCATATTAGGGACACACAAGTGAATAGAGCACATATTACTGAATAAAAAGTGGCTTAGAAAATGTTACTCAGAAAATATGTAAATGAATCACAAAATGACTTGCAGGACATGCATGAGTGACTTACAAGAGTTCAAACCAAACATGTTTGACTCATAAGAATCTCATAGCTCATATACACTCAAAACTATTATTTGTTTCAAAATACTCTAAAGCTTCATTTTTTAATTTAATGTATAGCAATGTAGTTAATTAATGTAATGTTCAAGAAGTAAGAAAAATAAAAGGGATTTCACTACTTTTGAGCTACAAAATAACAAGTGAAAACAGTTAATTTTATTTAAATGTTTTTACTTAAAAAAGAGATTAGTAGGATGACTATGAAATGAGCAATTGTTATGATGTTATAGTTGTATTAGTAATGAATTACATCAGCAATGCTTAAGACGGTTAAGTTTATTATTTATAAACCATCAAGGGATTGACATCATGTGAATACTCATACTGCTTTTGGGTATGATTAATGTCACTATACATAAGAGACACTCTTAAATACAAGACATTGCTTTAGAGTATCTTGTAAGTAACAAACAATGGTCATGAGTCACTCATATGAACTCTGAGTCTCTTGTAAGACAAATATTTGTTCTGAGCTCTTGTAAGTCACTCATATGTCCTATAAGTCACTTTGTCATTCATTAATATGTTCTGAATTATTTGTGAATGCTAATACATGCCATGAGCCACTTTGTGGTTCACTATGTAACGACAGCGGAAGTCACGTGATGCTGGTAACACGTGATGAGTGTCTAGAAGATTTGCAAAGAGGTTAGTACGTGCTACGCGCGTGCTTTTATTGTATATAAGTGCGCCAGACAAAGGAGACATTCATTTGGAATTGAGTTGCAGACAGAGAGATATAGAGACAGATAATCGAGTCAAACCATAAATAAAGTGCGTGAATCATTGTGAATTCTAGCGTGTGTTTAAGTTAAAGTGACTGTGGAAATTAAAAGTATTGCAAAGTTGAACTGAGAAAG